CACCAAAACAAATACTGGTCTAGCAGTCGTCTATCTAGCAGGCTAAATAGCCAAGCTAACCATAAGGTCCCTGCAACTGCTGGCTGCACTAGTTGAACTTTTCTGTTTGAATTTCTTGCAAACAATTCAGTTTAATTAGATATTAGAGTGTAAAGTCAACACCTACATTGTAAGTAGATGTCTAGCTGCGCTGATACTACTTATGGTGCAATATAGCTTGATAATATACTTGATTTATACCTGCTCAGTGATGGTGTAAATAAATGGTGCAGTACCCTATATTGGTGCAATAGATGTTATGAGATCTGCTATCTGACTGGCTCGGCTGGAAGACTATGTGTCTGGCAGGCTGACTGTGTGACAGGTTACCAGGGTGACTGGCTGGATATATGACCCACTGCAGTTGATGTTGTGTTAGCTGGGAGGCTAAAATAACTGAATAACTGGATGGGTGCAGCCCGTGTTGTGATGCTATAAATTGTTTAGCTGACGGCCATTGAAGACAGCAGTAGATAGAAGAATGGACAAAGCCAGAAAAGGGCAAGACAGCAATAACTTTCCTGTTGTGACAGCAAAGGAAGTGTTTTTTTTTTTTGGTTTTATGACCTCTTGCCTATTAAAATATAATAAATGTTTACTGTCCATGCTATTCCATTTTTCTTTATCAGTCTGTCATACATATCTCTACCACTATACATCACTCTCTTGAATACTCTGGTCTGGAGTGTGCTTGTGTGGGTCTGCGCTTACGTGTGTTCGCTTCCAGATGAGATAGGCACCTTTTTTAAAACACCATAGGGCAATAACATCCTGCCATGTGCATATCAGCCTAACACACGCACACACAAAACACTAGTAAAGTACTTCCTTTTTTCCATCCACATACACACGATTTGATATTCATGAGAATTTGTTGTTTTTTTAAAGTATTGTGTGCATTCTTTGTACGTTCCGGACAGAATGTAAACATCCTATTGCTAGGCTATATACAGTGGTGAAATAAGGCAAAGGGGAATAGAAACAGACATCACGACGGCACTTAACTTTCACATAAAAATTAACACACACATACACACAACTGTGGTCTGCTTGTGCTGACATTATGTTGACACACTCCTGGAGAAAGATCACAAAAAGCTCCATAAAATTGGTGTGAAGGTGGAGCAAGCACACATACACATAGCTGGGTTCGAGGGTCATAGTATGACGTCCTCTGTTCTTAATGCAAACCAGTGTAAACACAAAGCTAACAGATGCTGCCATAAACTACAAACCAAAACACGGAGACAGAGAGAGATGGAGGGGGAGAGGGCGTCTGGAGGAATCGGAGAGAAAGAGGGAGAGGGATGATAGAGGCAGAGAGGCAGGAAATAAAAAATGGATGTAGGAAAGGGAAAGAAAAGATAACGATGCGAGATAATCACAAAGTCTGAGGAAAAGAGAGACAAAGAGTGAAGGAGAAAATTTAAAATGGCACAGACAGATGGTTCTGTGCTGTTCTCCTGATAACACTTCTATCAGTGTAAAACATAACAAGCCCCTGGTGTGAGTAATAAACACTGCATAAAATCAAACTATCAACATGATGATAATCATAACAAGTGTAGCTTGTCATGATGTCATTATCACTGTATCTGCACAACACTTACAAAAAGTTTTGTAGGTGACAGTTAACATAATGAAAATGCAGAAAATAGAGAGGAAGAGAGAGAGGGAAAAGACAAAGAACATATGAGGAAAGCACCAAATTAGCAGGAAACAGCAAAGTAGTGATAACAGATAAAAAGCAGATTGAAAAAGGCAACTAAACAAAGAGGGACAAAGAGGAAGGATATGAGATGATGATCTGAGTGTCTGTAGTTTGAAAGGCAGAATTAAAGTCGCCCCAGTGTGTGCCTTGAACATGTCATAAAATTGCCAACTGTTATCAAGGTAATTATATTCACAACCAGGCTAGACCACTGAGGTATTGTTCTCACAAACTTGTAATTGACCCCTGATGAATGGTTACACAATGTAATTCACTCACACACCATTTGAGACCACCAAAGTGTTATAGTGATGCAGAAAATGACTGCAGGTGAAAACAAACACATGCACACACATGCACTAGCTTGCACACAGGCATGGGGTATACACTTCATCTCTCTCACACACACACATTATATATATATATATTCTGGTCTGTTTATGCATTGCATTTCACCCTGCTGACATAATCTACCCTAACATAAAACTCTCATTAATTCAGTATGATTTCAGCATTCAGTAATTCATCATTGCTGATATGATTAACCAAACTGTCACACTCCCATACAGTCTCATTCATCAAACATTTTTGTGGAAATGTTACATTTAACATCAGTTGGGAATGAAATCTTGATGGGTGGTGTGCTTGGCTTTCTATTGGCTCCGTTGACAAGTGGATGGAATCATACAGGTGTGGTTTCCTAGTCAGCTGATGGAGACCACTTTTGCAAAAAGGTGATTCTGTCACTATACTGATTTGTTTAATTTCTTACATTGCGCTTGGGTGATTAAATGGAACATATATTTGTATAGAAGATTAATTACGAAACCATTTACTGTGGTAACATTTGGACTCAACTGGACCAGTCTACTTTTCTTTCAATCTACCTTTCTATGATTTAGACCTGAGGTGGCCTCCATATAATGTAACACTGTCAGAAAGAGGAAAACTGGTATTACATCATATTTTTCAAAGCCATGGGAATGATGAATCAAGGCTTTTCTTCTGCAGTGTATCAAACTGTGTCACTTTTGGCATCGTTCTGAAGTGGCCTGCCATGACTGATGCCAAAGCGATATCTAATTTCACCTGCTAGCCAGCTAGCAGCTGCAGTATGAATCCTGTGGAAATTTAATTTAAAATGTTGCTATTTCTTATGCTACCAAGAGACTCAAATGGAAGGAGATGGGAAGTGATCACTTAGCCTGTAATGTGAGGAAATGCTGGCCAGCAGAGATAATGCAGAAGTGCATCCCTGCTTTTTTTTTCTGCCACAAAAAGAAAACATTAATTCACTGTTGACTAGGAAAGGTTTTTTTCTCAAACCTGTCATTTAAGAATAGACCGGCTGCCATCAATCATGGGGCATTATTGCAGTGACAGATGTATTCAAATAGCCAGACTGAAGGAGAAAGGAGGTGGCTCAGGTGCAGATCAGATGAGGCAGTTGTCACAATAAATCTGTGGCATTAGTGGATATAATATTAATAAAACTCAAAATACTGGTTTTGCCTTAGATATAGACAATGCTGTTTACTTGACTATAAATGGTAGAATCCTTGCACACAAGTACAAGTCATAATGTAAGTACTAATTCATAATAGTAATTTATATTAGATTTACCTAATGTTACAATAAGCCATGCAAAATCAAGCATTAAATTACATCTAAGAGAAAAGAAATCAATCAAATAATGACCAAATAAAGATTTCTCTGCCTGAGTACTTTTGTTAATTTTGTGTGTGCGTTAATCTACGCATTAATACAGATTTTCAATGTTAAATACCACATTTAACAAAGCGGTTTTCATTCCAATTGTCTTCAGGGGTACTTGTCATTTACAAGTCTATGCTATCTCAACAGCATTATTATTATGCACAGGCCCAGTGTATAAAATCTTCACCGTCAGAATAATGGATCTCAAAGGAGGCCATTGCCAACTCGTAGGCCACTGTGACATGCCGTTAAATTGACACTCATTTAGCTTTTGTATGATTATTAAAATGCACAGCCA